AAAATCTTCACTTTTAATCTTCAATTGATAGTAACCAAACCTTAAATCAATCTTAGAAAACACATAGGCACCTCGAAGCTGATCAAATAAATCGTCTATACGCGGCAATGGATAACGGTTTTTAACCGTTACCCGATTCAATTGCTTATAATCAATACATAGCCTCAAGGTTCTGTCTTTCTTCCTCATAAATAACACTAGAGCTCCCTAAGGTGAAGTACTAGGCTAAATAAAACCCTTATCTACTAATTCCTGCAATTGAATCTTCAATTCCCTCAATTCAGCAGGAGCCATTCGATAAGGAGTTAAAGATATAAGATATGTATGTAGAAGCAAATCAATAGTGAACTCCACATTTCGGTCTGGCGGCAATCCAGGTAAATCATCAGGGGACACATCAGGAAAATGCCTGACCACTCGAACATTCTCCACACTACTAGGAACATTATCATTTAGCACTACATGAGCCAAATATCCCCAACAACCTTTCTCTAACAACTTCTTATCTCTTACAACAGAAATAACACCATGCCTCACCCAACTACGCTCGACCACAAAAATAACCTCGGGCAATCCAAGACAATGAAAAGTAACTATTTTTCCGTAGCAATCTATATTGGCACGACTGTAATGCAACCAATCTGTGCCCAAAATCACATCAAAATCCACAATATCTAACGGGATAAGATTAGCTGGCATAACTACATCCTCCACTAACACGGGACATCTTGGATATACACAACTAACATAACATCGCTCCAATCTAGGCATTGCAAACTCTAAATCATACCCAAGAGGCGTAGGATGAGGTTGCGTCAACTTAGCAAACGTAAGAGAAATAAGAATGCGTAGCACCACAATCAATTAATACTCTAGCAAAATGACCAAGAATATTCAACGTACCCATGATCAAATCAGGATTATTCTGAGCATCCTGCAATGTCATGTGATGGACGTCCCTGGGTCTGATGTCGACCTCCACGACCTTTGCTAGCTTGATTACTTCGTCCCTGCACACCTTGTCCCTGACTCGGCTGACCAGGATACCTTGAAGATCCAGCACTACTAAAAGCAACCTCTACGTGTTGGGACTGTCCTCCAGGATACCACTGAGATCCACCAACTGAATACGGAGGATATGGCATATTACATATTACCTCCAGGATACTGAGGATAACCACTATGTTGATACGGGTCTTGATAATACTGATACTGCCCTGCAGAATAAGGAGCTACATCGCTCTAATAATGATAAGTACCTCCGCGACCCGCCTGACCATAACTGCTAGCTCCTAAAATATGCTGAATCGGCACTAGTGGTGGTAAAGAAGGCTGCTGGGGCCTTTGCTAATTCTGGGGACAATGCATAGCCCTATGCCCCATTTGACCACAAATATAGCATATGTTACTACCTCGCCTACACTCTCCAAAGTGCCGATTATTGCACCTACGACATAAAGGTGCACCTGTGCCACCAGAATCTCTCTGCCTCTGAAAACGAGGACCCCCAGAAAATCTACCACCTCTCCTCTTACCAATGGAACTCATACTTCTGCTAGAAAAACTGGAACTAGTTTCACCTCTTTTAAAGCTCTGAGTCTTGTGATGTACCAAAGATGACTGACCTTTACCTTTATCATCTTTCTTCTGATTTCCATCATTTTCCTCCTCCTCATTATCGTTGGGCATATTCTCTGAATCTTCAATTCGCAGCAGAACCTCATAAAACTCTTAGTACGTAGCACAGGAAGCTGTGGTCACCATAGAATGCCACTTCTTTTTAGTACCCAATCTAAAGCGATGAAGCATCTCAACTGGATTAGCAGCAACCTCCGGGTAATAACGAGATAAATCAGTAAACCTCCTGTAGTACTCATTAGCCGTCATCTTCCTCTGCTTCAAATTTGTAAACTCTTGTTTCTTACGATCTATATACTCAGGAGGAATAAATCTCTTCGAAAATAACTGTTTAAAAACTTCCCAATCAGCAGCTTCCTCTGGTGACAACTGATAAGACTCATGTCTCCACCATGATGTAGGCTACTCACCTAAAAACCAGGTGGTCGTCTCAACCCACCCATCCTCCGGAAGATTCCCCTGCCTATGCATCAAACAGAAGGTCTTCTCAAGATGATTAATCCATTTCTCTGCTCCTTCAGACCCTTCATTACCTAAGAAATGATTCAACTTCAAATTATATACAGTCTCCAGATGAGTCTTTTGGGAAGGACGAAGCGAAGACTAAATAGCATTAGCTATAGCTTCCCCTAACTGAGCAATATCAGGGAAACTAGGCTCAACTGAAGGACGTGGCTCTCTATGAGGCGGCAATATTCTGACAGAAGACACCAAAACAATTAGAATATTCACAAGATATGCAGGATTGCCAAACCTAGGCTCTGATACCAAACTGACACACCCCGACCTAGATCGAGGCATGCGACGTAGCCATGTGCACAATGCGGAAGCAATAAAGATATAAGGAAATGCGAATAAATAAAAACCAACTAACTAGAGCACTAGATAAGGTAAGGTGCAAAACGAGAATAAGTGTGAGTTCACAATCAGAGCATAAGTAGCCTAAGTGCAGTCCAGCATGAAGAATACTAATTATACAACATCAAAGTTAATCCTACATTGGTGATAATCTGTCAGAGCTGCCGTGAATTCCTCATAAGCCACCAACAAGCACTCCTAACTAGAACCTGAAGGGGCGCAAAACAGAAAGTGTGAGTGGGTAAAAACAAAGTTTTTCAAAACCATTTCATTTAATAAAAGTTCTAACCCCTTGCCGTAAAACCTGTATAATTTTCCAAAAAATAGAATGCATATATACATATACATATCTCAAAACCATGCTCAGAAATGATATTCATAAGTATGCCATGCCGAACCTCAAAATAACAGAATAAGTAACTCCAGTGAAATAACATATCAACCGGATCCACCTAAAGTAGCTTGTACGGCTAAATCTATAGCTCAACAAGTATGCCTGCACACGAGTCGAAACCACCTAAAGTGGTATGTACCACATGACTGGGTGAAAATAAATAAATACACTCTAGTGCTATGATCACGTGAAGACTGTGCGAATAATCGCGGGTCACCTACGAGTCGAAACCAACTATAGTGGTCTGTACGACAAGACTATGCACCTAACTTGGATCCAAGGTGAGCGTATGGTGCAGGAGGTGAACATCACGTGAAGGCCTATGCCCTGGCCACGGGCGGGAACACTAACACCGGGGTGCATGTTACAAATTCTCAACATATCTCACATCATCATCAAATCACATATAAGCAGTCCACAACTTACCTGGTACTTGCCTGAGCGTCCACAGTGTCAAATCACATTTATGCATACTATACTAATTCATACTCTAAGCATAATTCAATAAGCATGGCAATTCAAAACATAATTTCATTTAAACGCATTTCTAGGAAAAATACCAAGTATATAAGTATATACTGAAAACCAAAAGCCCACTCACTGATATGTGGAAGGGTCGTAACGCCCGAGCCTTGCTTGACTGTGCTCGTCCTCAGGATAGGTCTCACCTATATGCGAAACAACTATATAAACGTTATTTAAAGCACATACACAAAACTAGGAAATAACTTCTGACACATTGCTCAAATAGGGTATTTGAATATACCACCAAGACCTACTCAACCTCATAAACACCCCCATATTTTTAAAAGAATTTTCTGAGCACCCACGCGCCGTCACGCGTCGGCCAAGGCACGGCTAGACGCGCGGCCCATGCGCAGGCACGTGCCTGGCACACCAAACGGATTCCTTAACGGCGTTAAGGAATATTCCGTTAAAAATCAGCATATACCGTTATAATTACCTGACGGCGTTAGCATATTCCGTCAACTTTGACGGAATATTCTCCTCCTTCAACCTTGGTTCTCTGGAGTCCGACGCCGCTATCGCTGGAAACTAGAAAAATCTTTAAAACTTCATATCTTCTTCGATTCTCAACCAAAATTCATGAATTATATACCAAAATGAAGCTTGTAATGAGATGAACAAAACCTTACCACTCTCAAGTCTTAAATCCACCGGAAACTCGCTGGAAAAAACCCACGATAGTCCGGCCACCTTTGCAACTCCGCGAACTAGGGTTTCCCGACGTCCAAAATCCTTCAAAATTCTTCTAAAAGCTTCGCAAAGATGATTTAAGACCTCCAAAAAGCTCAAAACTTCAAGAAACTATCGCTATCACGTCGAGTGAACACCTCATTGGGGGTTTTTGGTTCTCGAGTTTTCGAAGCTTTAAGACCTCCAAAAAGCTCAAAACTTCAAGAAACTATCGCTATCACGTTGAGTGAACAGTGCACCTCATTGGGGGTTTTTGAAGCTTTCACAACCAACCAAAGGTATAGATCGAGTCCTGAGCTCACACGGAACACGAAAACAACTACCAAAACCCCGATCTGAAATTAGTGAGCTAGGTTCGAGGTTGTCCGTACGGTTGTACGGAAATAGAAGAAAATCCTAGAGGGAGGAGAGAGAGAGAGTCAACGAGATTGGGTCAACCCATTCCACAGTTTTTAAGCTCACCAAACGTGGGACGGAACGGCGTCCCGAGCCGTTCCGTCTCGTCCCGAGCCGTTTGGTACGCAGACGGGACGGAACGGGACGGGACGGGACGGGACGGGACGGGACGGGACGGGACGGAACGAAGGTGTAATTTTTGAAAAATACATGGGGTATATTTGTCTTAAAATGGTAAAACAGTGTGTTCCACAGACGTGGAACAAACCCGTTCCAGGGGGCAGGTGGGACGCAAAAACACCCAAAATCTGTCCCGTGGAACAGCCCGTTCCACCCATTTTTGGCACACCAAACGCGGGACGGAACGCCTCGTCCCGTTCCGTCCCGTCTCGTCCCACGTACCAAACGCACCCTTAGGGAACCTAACTCTTAGGCCATATGACAAAAGACTGACGTCAGTTATAAATGAAAAATTAATTGTCTATTGTCCAGGGGTTTTTAGGGGTGGAAATGGTCGAATTGCGTCGAAGAGGGAATCGATTCCTGAAAAAAAGTTTCAAGCCGCTCAAAACTGTCACTCAAACGAATTGGGGCGAAAGCCCGGCGCTCCCGTTTCCCGCTCCGGGAGGGCAATTCGCTACCACTTCATAGGAGGCGAGAAATGGATTGGGGTTTTGTGCGTAAAGCTTGGGACAAGTGGGCTTCCCTCAACATTGCTTCTCCTGGTGAGTCCTGAGTCACTAAAAGCAGCTTATACTAAAAGCAGCTCCTCTCAACATTGCTTCTCCTACTGACTGCCTGAATCGTTATATATTGGTTTTCGTTCATGGCATTGAGCGTTGAATTGAAATGGTTGCAGATGAGCCATTAAAAGCAGCTTTACTCATCAACTACGACCCAACTGGACCATCTCGCTTGTTGTCTACCATGTATGTTCCTTTCAATTCCATTAATTTTTTGCTTTTGTTTTCTGTTTTCTGCTTTTTGTTTATGAATTTGTGTTCCAGATTGTACAAATGCGATTCGATTTATAACTTCGTCCTCGAAATATTTGTTCGAATCCACATTGATTATCCAATTTCTTCCAGAGATTGAGCTGATAGTTGATTGAGGGTTTAGTCACTGTCAATTAGTCTCATCAATTATCTTCATAAAATAAACAGGAGGCGATAGAAGGAGAAGGATAATGTGTTTGACAAGAATGGTTCCATTTGGTGCAAATATTGGACTCCTGAGTTTTAGATGTGTTTAGTAAAACTTTTGCTAGTGTCATGAGCAGGGGTTGATTATTATCTACGAGTTTGGTTATTTACTTTCTTCAAGACCACAAGACTAATAAAGCCTGGGTTTTGATGACCTTGATAAGTGTCTGTGTGACTGTTCTGGAAGGAGCAAGTTAAAAGCATCTTTTTAGGTGTTTCTATTATAAAAGAATTGACACAAGACACATGGTGTTCTTCTCTGTCAATGGGAGTGTCATGCTATATCTATCGGCTTTTCACAAAGTTGGCATTATACTTAAGGAATTTGTTTTCTCTTCTCTATAGTCTAAATTTCATCGTGGTTCTGGACCGCCCGACTTCACATTTCCTCCGATTTTTAGGTTTCATCTTTGAGAACTATCTTTGTTTGATTCCAAGGAAAATTTATATTTTTGCAAGGGTTATGACATAGGTTTGATTCAATTTTCACGTCTCAAGTTTTGGGGTTCATATGAGTTGACTTGTTGCCTTGATCATCTTTACCCTCTTCAACATTAGTAACTCAATCTTTTTCCCTTTCTCAAATTTGATTTGAAGTTGAACCGCCTGCATTTTGGTAAAATATTCTTAAATTCATGTGCCTTCATAACAATTTGCAGCCAATGCAGATGATTAATTTTGATTTCATTTCTGAATACGTTATGGCCAAGAATATCCCCAAGATTACCTAGAGGGCAACAGTTTTCATTCAGTTGTAGTGTTGTACTACCTGCTCGAATTTCATTTTCCAAAATAAAAAAGTTACACGCTAGGACTAGTTTAGCTTTTCAACTCCTATTCATTATTAAAATTTCATCAGTTCAAATTTTAGGGACTAGTTGAAATATTCATTATAGGACTTCTAAAATACCTTGTTCAATGCAGAAATGTGGGGGGAATTTCTTGGGAAATTTAGTACATTTGCTTAACAGTCAAATTGGATGTTAGATACTCCCCAGTCCCTTCATATCAGTATTGGATTCTTGTTGGAGGTCGATATGTGCAAATTGGTTTTGCTGCATGTTGCTGTTGTTACATATATATCCAGAGAAAGATAAAAAACAGGGAGTATGTAAATGATGTTTCAAGTATAGGGGTATACCTCAGATACTTAAAGGTAAGGCACAATGGATGTACTTTAGCGGTTTCTGGATTTGTTTAGAGGATTAGCGTCCTCTTAACACAAACCATAGTCTTAATGAAACTTTTGAACGTTGAAGGAGGAATACAAGGATTAGCAAATTCTCTAATCTGTTCTGAACATCTGACTGTTCTCCTTCTAATGGTATAAGGATTAAAATCAGGCTCTCCTTGACGTCCTGAATCCTTATTTTCTGTCCATCTTTTTCACACATGTGATTCTATTTTCTCATCCACATTTGGCATTATTTTTCCAGTTCATTTTGATCCTGCTCATGACTTGTTTATGGATCTCTGCATGAAAAATATCTACATTCACTTAGCATGTCATATTTCCTATGTGCTCCTTCTTTCTGAAGTATATGATACAGAACGGAACATTCACCTTCACATCTATTGTTGCTTTTATATTCTCTGGACTGGATGCTTGGTTTAGGTGAAAAGAGAATTTTACTTAAAATTTGTCATGCTTGTCATGTTGTTCTGTTTGGATACACTGTACCTGAAGGTTGATTGCATGCATGCAGCGCTGAAGAGGAAGGAATAAAAGTGAATCCGATCGAATTGAGTCAATTTGTTGATTTCATCAAATGTGACAAGCAGCAGACTGAGAGCTTCGTTATTGGAACAAACCAATGTAAGTGTTTCCTGTGGGTGCAATGTGCAATCACAGTTCCTAATATTTGTCTGCTTAACTGGAGGATTGGGAGGAGGGGCATGATTTTGCTTTCTGTTATTAAGGAATTTGAAGTGGTCTTGTATGGAATTACTGAAAACTGAAAAGTTGTCATGAATTTTGACTGTAAGTTTTTCAATATATGAACTATGTGTGTTTTTTTGTTGTTAGCCGTATGTGCGTTCTTTCATTACAAGAAATGGGGTGTTTATGAGAACAGAAAACCAATGACGGAAATAAAAAAGGTCGTACCCAGTGCACAAGGCTCCCGCTTTGCGCAGGGTCTGGGAGAGGTGAATGTCGGCTAGCCTTACCCCCATTTATGGAGAGGCTGCTCCCAAGTCTCGAACCCGAGACACAAAAAAATATAATAGAATAAACATTGCACGTACTATGATAGATGTTATCATATCAGTTCATGAGAAGTGCTCGTATGTGCATACCAGGAAGGATTTGATCGTGTATGAATCTTTGTTAGTATACCGAGTATAGTACTGTAGACCTCACCTCACCTAGTTTTGACATCTAATTGTGGTATATATTGCTGGATCTAAAATAATGACAGATGTGGTGACATCAATTCATGATAATTGGTTCTGTGCAAGATGCATGAACACATCAAAACATTCTGGTGAAGGCGCTATCGTTATGCAAACAGCAGCATTTCTGTTGGTTGGATTGTAAGCACGTACTGCCTTTAATTTTACTCTAAACAACGGACAGGGTTTTGGAATTTCAAGATATGTATGATCATTTGTGAATTATCATTCAATTGTGCAGGTATGATGGTTCTATTGGCTCAGCATCTCGTGCTATGGCGGCTGTTGATCAGTTTGCATGGCAATTAAGTCGAAAGAATATGTAACCTTGTCAAAAAGATGCAGATAGCGTGGTATTCCCTGGTACCTTGCAATTCTTTTAATACCAACTGCACTAGCGTTATATTGCCCCAAAAACTATCTAAATTGATTGAATGATGTAGACCTGGTAAAACTATCTGAAATCTGGATTTTATAACGCAATAGTAGAAAGTTACTTATCCTAGTAGAAAAATGGATGGTCCGGATCACTTTGAATTGCAACTGTTCAATCAATTTTCTGTACATTCAAATTCTAATACGCGTAGCTAGACCAAAAACAATAATAGAAAGTTACGTATCCTAGTTGATAGAGTTTTTGGTCTTTATTCTTGCGTTTTGTGCGAAACTCCCCGTTGGACAATTAATATAGAATGCTATAACCACGAAATCGTCTCTTGTTAGCCAATTTAGTGGCATCGAATATAAGGGAGGGAGAAGGCATCTGATTATTTAAAAGGTTCGAGCAGAATTATGCGACATAAATCTCTTGCAAGTGATGCCTGATATTCTTTTTCTTGAACGTAACCCAAGGATAAACCTCAGGGATCTTTGTGAAATTAACCCAATGATAGGACGTATTCCTTTGATAAATTCTAACAAATATGTAGCATTTCATTTATGTTGACGTAGGAATTAAAATGGAATTTTTTTTATTTATAATGTTAACGCTCAATGCTGGTTAACAAATTAAAATAATAAACCCTTGGTGACCTTGGGATATGGACTCAGAGATTTAAGGTTCATCCTTCAAAACTGGGCTACATCCACTGTGTTGCTCAAATTGTTATGACTTCAAGACTACAAATATCGCTCGTCAATTAACATGAACTCTCTCTTTTCTCGGTCGTCTGACCCCCTTTCTAGAGGTTCCCACCCATTTATAAAGGCCCTTAATGAACTCCCCTAGCCTTAGGTTTCCCCAATCTGGCATTTAGTGCGCCACCTACGTAGACAAGCGTATTGACACCTTTTCACATATTGACTGGGTATTCGGCGATGAAGTGACAGGTGCTTAGTCAAAATGGCACGCATTTTCAAAGGGATGAATGCCGAATGCCTTGTTTGGTCTCGATTATCCAACCATGCCTCTTCGAGCATCGTCCCAACCACCTTTACATCTCACCCTAAGCCTCTACTCCTAATTGCAAGTTGCCAAGTGACCTGATTGACGTCTGAGTGGACCTGCCCCTGAAACCTTGTGCTATAAAGTTGTCAGGTTTCCCATGTGCCTCTGGTGGTTGGAAAACATTTTACATAACCTAGTCAGGGTGAGCTAGTTGGGGGCCAACTTTAGCGCTCGAGAGTATTCTCTTCTAAGCTCCTTGGACCTTGGGCTTTGACTTAACCTTGGGCTTTTCGCGGCCTCTTTCTCAGCCTGCACCATTATGTGAGCCTAAAAGTGCTCCACATTAACACATAATGTTAGAGACACCAAATAATGTGACACCAATTAAATTTGTACTTGAATTCAAGTGAATTTGATTAATAATTTAATATCACTTTTTTTTTTTCAAATTGCTTGTAATGTGTATAGTAATTGGTGTAAGAACAATTTCATTAGTTTTTGTTTCACAATAAATATTCAGATTTTATGATTAAATATCAATTTTTTTTTTTTTTTGGTTGTAAAAAAAAAAACAAGTTTAGCTGGGAGGGGAGGCTACCTCATCCCAGATCCAGGACATATCACAAATCTCTTTAAGGACTTACTAAAGGGGTTTTATTGTTTTTACAAATCGTTCACCAAGAGGATTGCCGAAAACAATGTTTATTGTCTAAAAACCAAAAGGGTAAAAAACAATCTACCAAAAAGAAAGCCACTGCAAACCACTTAATCTTCTACTGTTAAGTACACCATTTCACAGCCTCCATGGTCACCATATTTGACTGCCAAAGTCTTTTGATAACCATACCAATTTTTAGCGTTAACATTCGCAAAGTATGTCTAGGGCATCACATGTGCATGAGTAGTGTTTAGTAGTAATATGGTGTTTATTGATAATTAATAATTACCAAACACTTAATGTATCATGATCGTTAGAAAGATAGAATTTTAAGAGATCGAATTGGTACACGTGTCTTTTGTTTCTTTTTTGTGTTACACCGCTTGATAGTATTCAGGGAGCATTTTTACTTACCACCCCTAAACAATGGTGTTTGCTCATCATACATTTAATCATTTGTCACGTGTCCTTACTCTTAACCTTGATTATTTTTTTTCAAAATTGAAAAAGTAACATTTAATGTAAAAATTAACTAGAGTTAGATGAAAAGATACGTGACAGATGATTAGGTAGATGATGAGCATACACTATAATTCAAGGTAGTGAGCAAAAATACTTCCTAGTATTCAAGCACCGCATCTTTTTGAAAAGCAAATGACACTTTTATTTCCTAATTTTTACGCTTGAATTTCAAATGGATTATAGGTCTGATACTAATATTGGCTTGCAATAAATAATTCATAAATTTAATAAATGTTGATCGAAAATATGGATGTCAAACTTGAATAGTTTAGAATTAAATTTCAATTCATTCAGGAGAAAAATAAAAGGAAAGGGTAAATTACATTTTACCACCTCAACTTTAAGTATCTCATATTTTGGACATTACAATATCATACATCACTTTACAATTTCATTGATTACAATGTCATACATCAATTTACGAATTATTAGACCTCATTTACATATTTCGTCAGTTTATCTGTTAATTGCTGACTTGGCAGACGTGGGACCCACTACTTCTTCCAAGCATATTGAGATATTAATTAAATTTAAACTATCTATTAATAGAACCCTCTTTGTCAATCAGAAGATGATGAAAATATTATTTAGTTTTCTATCACACCAAAAAATGATGGGCAATAATGTAATTCACAAATCCAAATTTTTTTTTTTATTGAAGCCTCATCTACAGACTACAGGTGATGTTAAGATGTATCTAATATTAAAAAAATGAGAAATTAGGTTCTCATCCTTTCTTTTGCTACTTCATTTATTAAAATCCTATTCTTTTCAATTTTTGATCAAGGTCCTTGGGTATTAATAACATCATTAATTATTTCAATAATAAATTTTTTTTTTATTTCTAAATATATTCATTTAATGTTAAAAATGTTACAATTAGTATATTTATATTTATGATTAAATTTTTTATCATATATTTTTAGTTTTAGTTTGTACCCATTTTTAATTTGTAATTCTTTTTTAACTTGTACCAATTTTCTTTTCAGTTTTTATTTGTACCCATATATTAATTTATTTTTGTGCCCATATTTTTTAAAGTTTATTTGTATTTGTACCCATATATATTTTTTTATTTTTACTTTTTATTTTACTAAATGTACACATGCTAATTATATTTACCCATTCATGTAAAACTTTTTAATCTCAAAATGTACTCATTATTAAATATACCAATTTGTTATATGTAAAATGTACCCTTTTTTTATACAAAATCTAATCAATTTTTTTCTAATCCATTTTTAACTTATATGAGTACATTCTTTTTTCTTTGATTTTAAAATGTATCCATGTCAAGTTTAGTCGAATAAATTTACTAATGTTAATAATGTGACAGCCCGTCCCTGATTTTAAGAGTTTTTAAAGTTTTAATAAAGGATTTTACAAAAATGCCCTTTGAGGCACGCGCATTATTCGAGGTTAATCGTTGTGTCGTGCCATCTAAGATTTGTTTTCTTGACATATCCTCGTAATACTCGTTGCTACGGAAGTGTGGGCGCAGACGGTTCGTGATTTGGAGTTATAACGAAAAAGATTTTAAAGTTTGAAGTTTGGGCATTTTATGAAATTTATTATAAAAATTTGGTGTGCCATTTGGATGGCCAAGATTAAAGGAAATCTGAAATGGATGGCTCGGATGTAAGGGAAAGAAAATAAAAATAAAAATAAAAAGGAAGGTTTTGTGTGTGTATATGTGTGTGTGCGTGACTGGTGAAGAAGAGGAAGAAGAGATTGGGCAAAACTGCCCAACCAGAGGAAGAGAGCAGGAGCTCCGGGAGAGAAATGAGAGAAGCTGGGCGAATGGGGAGAAGAGAGAGAAGCTTCTGGCCAATCAGAGAAGGGGAAATGAGGAAAGGAGAGAGGGCAAGAAGCGGAGGAAGAAGAACAGAAACGGGTTTTCCCCCAACCCGTGTACCCACGCACCCATCTCCATTTTTCCGACGATTTTCACCGGAATTCTAGCATATTGGATCAAGGTATCACTCCCAATCAACACATAGGCCTTCCCTCTTCATGTTTCACCCCAAAAATCATGAAATTTGATGGTGGTTTGGTGAAGAACGCACCCGTGGGTGCCGCGAGCTTCATGTTCAAAATTCTCCTATGTTTGAAGCAATTTCTTCCAATTACCACCACCCATAGCTTCCTCTTGAGGCCTAGAACAAAGCCCAAGCATTGGTTGGGATGGCGGAGTTGATTTGAGGATGAATTGGAACTCACCCATTTCTACGGTCCGCACGGATTTTGATAAAATTGAAGTGTTTCCAAGCCAAATTGGCCTTGGCCTCAGGTATAAAGTTTACTCTACTCATTGAGATCTTCATTTCTGTAAATTTTGGTAATTTTTGGAGATTGTTGGATTTTCCGGCGAGCCAGGGCGGCCAACCGCCACCCGCGACGGCCCGTGCGGCAGCGCGTGGCCAATGGCCCACCAATTTCATTATTAGCATGTGTTTAATGTTCTAGGTTCAGTTTGATAATTGATTGACGTAAATTGAGTAATTGAACCTAAGTTCGTTACGATTCGTGGTTAGGTGAAAATGTGAATTGACGATCCGACCGTTGGATCATCACCAATCTTTGATACGTTGTAATACGTAATATTTGAGGATCATAGGAACTTACGGATTGGGAATCTGATTTATGGATATTCCGGAATTGGAGTTGTAAGTTCATAAAATAGAATGTTAACCGTCACTTGGTTTTGACAATTGACGGAGATCCGACCGTTGGATGGTAAGGAAATTGTAGGATGTTGTTCTAGAGATATATTGTGGATCTCTGGAAGTTATGGATTAGAAATCTGAGTTACAGATCTTCCGGATCGATCTACGTAGTGACGTATTTTATATAAGTTACATATTCTATCGATTTGAATTCTGAGGTTTGATTTGATTATTGTTCTAGGCGCCGATCGTCATGATGCCTTGATGTGTTGTGCTAGGGAGTTGTAGGGCAAACTCCAGGTTAGTGGGC